ACGTCGAAACGTTGCATAAAACTTTAACCAGTGATTGTTGCTCCATAAAGCTGTGTCTATATATCGTACTCACCATTGCTAAATGCCATTCAAAGATATTATCATTCTCTCTGAAAAATGCCAATGATCTTAGGCTTGCGTTCGTTCTTATTTAAAAATACTTCCCGTTAGATTCTAGATTGGTAAGTAGTAAGGGAGACAAGAATCAAAGTCAGAATTACATGATAATATACCTTTAAGGATTTACACAAAAGAGTACAAGTAGTTCAATATTCAGGTCATGGTACAGAAATGCAATCTGATTATTATGCAGATATACATTTATTGATATTTTAATAGATAACTCCACACATAAATCGACCTGACACTTTTTTAAAACGAAGTGTGTAATTCACACACAAACCCTTCACTCCTACTATAAAAATAAACTAAAGGTATAAAAAAAAAATTATTTTGTAGTAAATTCCGAGAACTCATAGAATTTTGTTTGCGTTTTCAACCTCGATAAGATAAATCTTTTGACGTCAACAAGATGTTCCTTCTGACGTCAACAAGATGTTCCTTCTGACGTCAACAAGATGTTCCTTCTGACGTCAACAAGATGTTCCTTCTGACGTCAACAAGATAATTTTTATTCCATAATTCATTAACCAAATGTTCATTTCGACGTCAACATGGTGTGCCTTTCTGACGTCAATAAATGCTACTTGTGACGTCAACAAGATGTTCCTTCGATTTCAACTATATTATTCCTTTGAGCGTTAACAACTGATTGTATCCCTCCACGCCCATCATTCCTTCGACTTTTGACCAATTATCATGTCATCGAAGTAGACAAGACTGTGTACCACGAACCCTTCTTACTAAGCGACTATTTTCTTAGACGTTAAGAAAGAATTTCAATAATTCAGTCACAAAATAAATTAAATTTATTTACATTAAAATATTTTACAAAAATAAAACAATAATACTATACATTATTCATATCATTCTATCATTGTTCACAAATGTATCTCTAAAAATAGAATAAAGGCAAGATTAAAAATATAAAGTAGCCTATCTGAACATTAAACTTAAAAAAATATTGAATGTTGATCTTTTGATTACACAATATATCTTCTTTAAAAATATAGTATATCTACAATTAAATATTCATAAAAATATATACACCGGGAGTCTGTCAAACTGTGATTCAAGTGTGAAGCCTGGGATCTTTCCTCAAAATAAACTGAGATAAAATCTAGATTTTTAGAAATACAGTAATCTGATTGGATAATATAATTAAACTTAAAATCAATATAATTGATTGACCAATCAAATGTCTGGAACTCTGTTAAGTTGCTTTCGAGAAAATGGTCCCAGGATGTGATGGGGTCGTTTCTAGAATTTAGCGAACAAAGATTAGATTTAGAATTCCTATCAAAGCACAAAAATTAGGGAAATTCGTGGCTTCTGTTTCCAACGTTTGTTGAATTGAAACAAATTTTATACGTCTTCAAACACAAAATGTTCACAGTCAGACATGCATGGTTTCTGTGGAATGTTTTGCCTAATTTGAAATAAAACACGATAGTGAAATAAAATCAATGCCCGAAATACGAAAATGCCATTGCCCGATCATCTGGAGACAAATTATGATCGTCAAAATTGACAGATGCTAAAAATAGAAACATGTCTCACTGAATTGACCCAATTCTGACAAAATTGTCAAGGTCCATCATAAAACTTGTCGGTTAATGTACTAGAAACTAGAAAATACACACGATATACACACGTGTGGTTAGACGAAACAGGCATTTTTTGTTTTACGAGTCATTGTATGTATATTTGGTACGTGTATAGCTTTCACTTCCACCAACTACATTTCCAGTTCGATTTCTGTAGTGTCGGCAAATTTATTACTACATTATGACGTCACTATCTGTCATCAGATGGAATTTTAGTTTTTCTTGAATAGCAGGACCCACAATCGAACTATATGATGTTAATAGAAGCGTTTAGTGACCCGTGTTCACATAAAAATACTAGAAAACCTCTTAAACATTCATTTAATTCGACTGTGAGGGTTAATTTGATAGCAAATTGACCCAAAGCCGCGTTTACACTGCCATTAAATTATCTCCCAGAAAGATTCTAACCCTCTTCATAAGCCTTAAACCTGTCACAATTAGCTTCTTATAAACATTTTCATTCAAACTCTGATATATATCAAAATTTAGTCTATCAACAGACTTACATAACCACTTTGATTTACAAGTTTAAAACATGACGACCATGACTAGAATTAAACAGGATCAGTTGTTTATATACAAATATATCTTCTTCTCTTTCTTTTTATTTACAGATTAACATCTGGCTATATATAAATGGTCAACTGAAATTAAAACGTTATGCCTATTAAAAAACAATATACCACGAACTCTTGATCTTTTGCTGAATCTGGAAGTAAAGGTTTTCCATACAAAGCTGGTTACCCATGTTAAACTATACACAATTCCTTAGCTATATACAAGAGATAAGAACATCGACCCTATCTTATGTCAGATTATACTTTACTTTCCTAGACCTTGCACCTGTTTCACATTATACTAATCAGGATGCAATCAAAATATTAATATATTAGGCAGTCTGATTGTTGAGTAGCTGAGTAGTTCACCCTTCTATAAACAGACAGGAGAATTATACTTACCTTGAAATTTTAATCATCTTCATAATAATAATAATTATAGAATTCTGCGTTACTGTTCATCATAGCTGTTAAAAATAAAATACAACAGGATTTAGATACATTTTATTGTTACCACCAACTAAAAAAGGGTAAATGAAATGAAGTGAATGGAGTTTTACGTCCTACTTTTCTGCACAACTAAAAAAAAACGGTGTTCCAAAATACCTAAATATTGATTTATTTTGGTTATACAAGCGTTTAGTGCAAGAACATTGATACAGGGCGTTCGAATTCGAAATGTGTGTATGAGCATATCAGAATGAACACGAAATGTACCAGCATTGGCGTATTGACTCAAACTACATGTATGTATTAGGGGCAGGTATGCCCTCTCAGACCCTAAAATACAACTTAGAAGTGCTTTGTCAGCGACAACTACCTATGCCCGAAAGCACATTGGTTGAAAGGAAGAAGGGGGAATTGTAGTCGGGGTACGCCCCTGTGTACGTATGAATGGTGATGAAGATGATATGATGATGATATCTACCTATCAATCAGCCTACCTTGCTCTCCTGCGGCCTCGGGATCAACCGGTGTTGTCACTTCCGGTGTGTCAGTTGTTGGCGTAGTAAGTGGCTCTTCTGAAAAGGAAATGATATTTGGTCTTAAAAGGACTTGTTTCTTTGATTACTTCTGCTGTGGTTCGTGAATATCGATCTGTGTAAGTCGACAATGGTTTTGAAGAAATTTCCGAAAGTCTGTACATTCCGAGCTTCTTTTTCCACATTTTCAACAATTTCTGTCTGGCTCCGTCACTCACCGGACCATTTAGTGACTGACAGTACCCTCCCGTGAGTTTCTTCCTTTCTCAATGATTTCCGTCTTTCCAATGGCGTGGC